GATTCTTAAGGGTATTAAAGTAATTTACAATTAATTATTTATTTTTTATTTTTTTGGTATTCAAGTAAGCAAAAGTTGGGATTTGAAATAGTGATCCCCTTTATTTAGTGGGCTTTAGTGGATTAGTTCATGGGCTATAAATTGTAAATCATATAAATCAACTACTACAATGAATAAAAAGGAATATCAATACTCAAAAAATAATTCTCCTCTTAATTTTTCTCCTAATTTATAACTCTCATTTTCTTCTTAATTCTTAACAATCACGTATCAGAGCCATTACGTCCCATGTTCCATGAAGACATTATTTTACTGAAAATTATAATCTCCACTTAATTCTTCTTATCTCATCTTTCTATTTCTTCTTTGTTCTTTCGGGACCATATCACACACGCGCGCCTATTTGTGCGTATGAGCTACAACCTTCAATTTCTAGTACTTGTGCCAACCGAAAGATCAAACAAAGAAAAAAAATTAATACTATCTTCAACAATTATTTATAGCTTCAATCTTTATTGCATACCTCATAAATTCAACATCTTTTTCCCCTCAATTTTTCAATTTTATAGAAAAACCCCTTATGTTTTCTCGATCTTTCACCTAAGCCCAGTTTCTAAAAATCAAATCTTTTTCTTTTCAACATTCAAGATTCAATAAAATCTAAATCTTGGTTTTATTATATGTATTTGTTAGTTTGTTCTTGATTGGATATCCTATTTAAATAGCGAAAAATTCTCAGTGGGTAGGGATTATTTAATCAATTAATGGACTAAATCAAAAAATTGGACTTTTTGACTCTAGAGTGAGAAAGTAGGCAAAAAAAGCAGATTGGGTTTTGGCAGCTGTAGCAGTAACTACAATGGATAATTTAACAGAGGACCACCAAGAATTCAACATCGGGATTGACGGCGGCGGCAGTATAAATAATACCGATAATCAATTCATCGGTAGAGGAGAGAAGGAAATGGCACCCATCGCCGGAAATTCGATTCACCGGTCATCGTCGCGGCCGCAGCTGGACCTCAGCGGCGCCGCCATACAGGGCAATTTTGAGGAGAGAGATCCCACCATTCTTTTGCCCAATCAATCCGATGATATTTCTCATTTGGCTCTCGATATTGGAGGTTAATCAATCTCTCTTGCATTTTCCTTTTTTGGCAATAATTAATTATTTAATTTTTATTTATTTATTATTATTAAAAAAAAAATTATAATCATGCTTTATTGGAATTTTTGCACATGGGTTCTGGGGATTTGAGAATTGCTGGTTATATATATATATATATATATATATATATATATATATATATATATATATATATATATATATATATATGTGTGTGTGTGTGTGTGTGTGTGTGTGTGTGTGTGTGTATTGTATTAGAGGTGGTGTAGAATTGAGAAATATTTGTAGTGTGGTTTTATAGCTTCAATGATACGGGCATTAAGTCGAAATTAGCAATCAGCTTTTTCGGTTTAACTTAGTAAAAGAAACTTTAGAATCCGACTTTTCTGTTTTATGACATTTTTCGGTTATAGTTATAGTGTTCGAGTTTCGGGAAAATTATTCCCTGCATCTTTTGTTCGTTGGCTTGTTTTTATATCTGGTTCAATCGACATTTTGTGACGAGTTGAAAAACTTTGGTATTGGATGATCTATGTTGCTACATTTGGCGATTAAGTCTCGTGTTTCGTTATGTAACTAAAAGCCTACCGTTTTTAAAAGTCGAAATTTATATTATTACTACGACAGGATCTCTCATTAAATTGGTGTACTTCTCGAGACACGAGAACCAAACGGTGACCGATAGGAGGAGAAAGATAATCAATGCACGACTCGGTATAACCAATGTGAATAGAAGGAGCTACCCTATTCTCGGAGGGAGGCTGCATTTCGTGAAATTCGAGACGAATAAAATTAACGAGTGCTTGGATTTCATCTACTCCAAGCAGCTTCATCGTGGCGGCACGTTTTCTCACTTTCTCTCTCTTGATAAAATTTCGTTGATTTGATGCTACTTTTCATACGCACGTTGTTCCATTTATCTTAGTTATGATATATATATAAATATACATATGTATGTATATATATATTTTTACAGGAATGGATTCACGCCATTGGCAATCCGAGGGTTCCGTCACCGAAAATACCATAATTAAGGTACTCCGTTTACTAGTGAAGCTAATTTGTATAACGCATAGCTCGTAATTTGGAACTATTTGGGTGAAGGCGACAGGTGGCGGAGCGTACAAGTTTGCCGATCTTTTCAAGGACAGGCTTGGAATTAGTATAGAGAAAGAGGACGAAATGAATTGCTTGGTAGCAGGTGCAAATTTTCTACTCAAGGTGCGATTAAATTTTTCTTTTTATTTTGTTTATTAGAATTGCAATCTCGATTCTTTAATTGCTTTCTCCTTACCGTAACTTATCTTTTATTACCGCGTTGTTCTGTGCAGGCAATTCGGCACGAAGCGTTTACACATATGGAGGGGCAAAAGGAGTTTGTGCAGATTGATTCCAACGACTTATTTCCGTATCTTCTCGTCAATATAGGATCTGGCGTTAGTATGATCAAGGTACCGTATTAATTTCATTCCCATTTACCGAAAAGCGGCCTTAGATATTTAGTTATTGCAAATTTTTGAACTCGATTTTTTTTTTTTTACAGGTTGATGGAGATGGAATATTCCAGCGTGTTAGTGGAACAAATGTCGGTGGAGGCACGTATTGGGGTCTGGGGAAGCTCTTAACCAAGTGCAAAAGGTCGTTTTTTTTTATATGATGGTTGGCTTTATGCTGTTACTAAACTTTTTTAATTGTTATTAAATGTTTAAATTTTTTCCTCGTACTTTTTTTTCTCGTTAGTTTCGATGAACTGTTGGAGCTGAGCCAAAGGGGAGACAACAGAACCATTGATATGCTTGTTGGAGATATTTACGGAGGAATGGATTACTCCAAGGTATTTTTTTTCCTTGCGTATTTTGCTCCGACATTTATTTACGAGTTTGTGTTACATGGATTTCCTCAAAAAAATCGAGACATGTATATTGATAGACACGTTTCCCATTTTACTGTAATTTTATCGTTCTAGTACTTTTTTACAACACTCCATAATTTGTTTATTCTATTTATTTATGTGAAAAATACAATAAAAAACGAGCAGATCGGTCTCTCTGCATCGACTATTGCTTCTAGTTTTGGCAAAGCTATATCCGAAAACAAAGATCTTGAAGATTACAGTCCCGAAGATATATCTCTGTCCCTCTTAAGAATGATTTCCTACAACATCGGCCAGGCAAGTTGAGTTGCAATATATAAAATTTTAATATATATATACATAAATGAATCTATATTTTCTTTAATAAATCAAAGTTACTATTGATGGTTTTTAATATGAAACGAGAGTTGTGGATTTATAATATTTTGCAGATAGCTTACTTAAACGCGTTGCGTTTCGGACTCAAGCGTATATTTTTCGGAGGATTCTTCATCCGGGGCCATGCGTACACGATGGACACCATCTCATTTGCGGTCCAATTTTGGTAATTCTTGAAATATTCGAAGCAATATTTTTTAGGCACCGTACTTTGATGCGACACTTATTGCCGCGTTTTATTTAGGTCCAAGGGACAAGCGCAAGCGATGTTTTTGAGACACGAGGGATTTTTAGGAGCTATAGGTGCATTTATGAGCTACGAAAAACATGGATTGGATGATCTTATGGTTCATCAATTTGTAGAAAGATTCCCAATGGGTGCACCGTATATCGGTGGAAGTGTCCACGGCCCACCTTTAGGAGATCTCAATGAAAAGGTACGATTTATTCACAAATTTATTTTTTTATTATTACTATTATTATTATTATTATTATTATTATTATTATTATTATTATTATTATTATTATTATTATTATTATTATTATTATTATTATTATTATTATTATTATTATTATTATTTTAGTGTTCATCGGCCACCTTTAGAAGATTTCATTGTAAATGTAGGATTTATCCGCAATTTTTTTTAATATTATTATTATTTAAATTATTATTATAATATTATTATCGTTATATTATATAATTATGTATTTAATTTGTACCTATAATAAAATAAAAAATATTAAATTAAAAAAGCTCGTGAGCTCATGAACAACTAAAAATGGTCTCGCCGTCTCGAGCTTGAGCTCGTAAAAATCCCAAGATTTTACATTTTCAATGTCCGGTAGCTGAATGTTAGTGGGGCCCAACGGGTGCTTTTTTGTATACTTCTTCTAATGCAACGCCTTTTTTAATTTATGCTGACGGCTAAAAATCGATAAGAGGGGATTAATTTATAGAATATGTTCTCTACCATATTTGTTACTTTTAAAAGATGTGTCCCTAAAGTGAAAGATTCTCAAGCCACAAGAAATATATTCTTAGCATCGGCATTTTATTATTATAAAGAGGCAGTATTACTCAAATCTTGATGAATCCTTTTTATACACAAATAGCATGTGACATATATATATACATACACATACATATATATAATATTTATATGATTGCAGATATCGTGGATGGAGAAATTTGTGCAAAAGGGAACCGAAATAACTGCTCCAGTCCCGACTGCACCACCAGGAACTACTGGCCTAGGTGGCTTTGAAGTCCCATCTTCGAAAGGAGATGCGTTACGACCCGATGCTAGCAAATTAAATGTCGGTGTTCTTCATCTTGTACCGAGTTTGGAGGTTTTTCCTTTGTTGTCTGATCCTAAAACGTGAGCTAATTATTTTAAATAAACTCGTTTAAATTACATAATATTATTTTGTGATTTCCGAAAAAAAAAAGTTGGGTTATACTTACTCTTAGACGTGTGGTTCTACTTTGGATTTGCAGGTACGAGCCCAACACTATAGATCTTTCAGATCACGGCGAGTTAGAGTAAGTACCGTAAATTTGATTGTTATATTTCCTTAAAAAAATTATTATTCATAAGTTATCCGGTTTCTTAATGTTTAATCTTCGATTTTATTTGCAGGTATTGGTTCACTGTCTTGTCAGAACACATGCCAGACCTTGTCGATAAGGTCATTTTCGTAAATAAAAAATATTATATTATTATTATAACTATGTTTTTATTTTATTTCTTTTAAATTCTGCAGGCTGTGGCTAGTGAAGGCGGTACGGACGATGCCAAGAGAAGAGGCGATGCATTTGCTCGTGCTTTCTCCGCTCACCTTGCTAGGTCTATCTTTTTTTGCATTTTAAAATATATAATTTAATTCAATTAGTAAAAAAGTAAATCCGATAAGTTAATATTCTCGTTTTCTCGTCTTAAAAAGTTTATATTTATGCGCGATAGGTTGATGGAGGAGCCAGCTGCGTACGGGAAGTTGGGCCTGGCCAACCTATTAGAACTAAGAGAAGAGTGCTTACGAGAGTTTCACTTTCACGACGTCTACAGAAGTATTAAACAGAGGTAAATAAAAAAAATAAAAAATAAATAAAAATAAGTAGTATGTCATTTATAAATTATATTCTTATTTCGACACTCCTTTTTTTCGTAATATAGAGAAAACGAGGCGTCGCTAGCTGTTCTACCTGATCTGTTAATGGAACTCGACAGTATGAACGAGGTAAGTACACTTTTCTTAGCTCAATTTTATTTAATAATTAACTTTTTAAATTTACTTAAATATATATTTAATTTCAGGAAACGAGATTGCTTACGTTAATTGAAGGTGTACTTGCTGCAAACATCTTCGATTGGGGGTCCCGCGCTTGTGTTGACCTCTACCATAAGGGGACGATTATCGAAATTTACCGAATGAGTCGCAATAAAATGCAAAGGCCTTGGCGGGTCCGTGTGACAGTATTTCCCTTTCAGTATTTTAATATTAATTTTTATTTGGATTCAATATTTAACGATTATTTAATAAATACAGGTAGATGATTTCGATCTTTTCAAAGAGAGGATGTTTAGTTCAGCAGAAAAGAGGCCTCGACCGTATAAAAGGGCGTTGCTTTTTGTGGACAACTCGGGCGCCGACATTGTACTAGGAATGCTTCCACTTGCAAGAGAACTTCTCAGGCGAGGAACCGAAGTATGTTCGTTTTTTTCCTTTTTCCTTTTTGCTTCGGATTACTGATTATATTAAAGTTTTGAAATATAATAGTAACGGCAAATTACGGTTACCCCCCCTAAGGTAAGATCAAATTACGAAAAGACCCATCTTGTTTGGATAATTACAACCACCCCTCAACTATGTATTGTCTTACGAAAACCCCCCTCCTTCAATAGGTAAATTTGATACCGCAAGGGTGGACGTGTAAGACAATTACATAGTTGATGTGTGGTTGTAATTAGTTAATTACTAATTACCCAAACAGGAGGGGTATTTTCGCAATTTAATCTTACCTCAGGGGAGTTGGCCGTAATTTGCCCTAATAATAATAATTACATCTTGATTATGAAAATCCCTTGCTCGAGAATTCGTGATTAATTCATTCGTAGATTGAAGAAATGTTTTGAAAGTTTATAGAAACTATATTTTGTTTCATTAGACAGTAATCTCGTCGTGTTGGAGAGAAAAACGGGTCCGACAATTTCCTTTCATTTATTATTTTATTTTATTTTTTATTTTTTTTGCAGGTTGTGTTGGTTGCCAACTCACTTCCTGCACTGAATGACATTACTGCAATGGAGTTGCCTGATATTGTAGCTGAGGCTGCCAAGGTTTGTTTCGTACCTTTTTTTATACGATAGATTTTAATCGATTAAATTGTTTAAAAAATATATAAATAATTTACGAAAAATTACGTGCAAATGCGTGTAACGCACAGCATTGTGATATTCTACGAGGGGCGGCTGAGGCAGGTGGATTACTTGTGGATGCGATGATAAACGTGCAAGATAGCCCTAGAGATAGTTCTTTCTCTGTTCCTTTAATGGTTGTCGAAAACGGGTGCGGAAGTCCGTGCATTGACCTCCGCCAGGTCAGCTCTGAGCTGGCTGCTGTTGCCAAGGATGCTGATCTGGTATTTTTATTATTATTAATATTTTTTTTATTATTATTAATTAATATTATTTTTAAGTCTAATCATGTAAACAAACTCCTACTACTGCAGGTTATTTTGGAAGGGATGGGACGATCTCTACATACGAATTTCAACGCCAAATTCAAATGCGACGCTCTAAAGGTCAATTTCTAGCATTTCGGGGTTTTTTTTTTCTTTTCTTTCTGAATTTCATCTAATCTGATTACAATTGTTTTTTTTTTTTTCCGGCGAAATGATTTTTTTTTTTTCACATTTCCGTTTATGATTCAATTTTGCAGCTGGCGATGGTGAAGAATCAGCGGTTGGCGGCAAAGCTAATAAACGGAAACATATACGACTGTGTCTGCCGGTTTGAACCAGCTAACTGAAAGTAGCCAAAAAAATAATTATAATAAATTAATTAATTAATAAATAAAAATGGATGAATCATAAGATTAAAGGATTATTTACTTATGTTACTTTGTTGTTCCAATTGTCTTAATTATAGGTTTTTATGGATCAAGAGAACTCTAATTTGAGGTCAAAGTCAACTGTAAAATGATGTGTAGTATAGTTATTACTTATTAATAATAATTAAAAGTCACTTTTTTATGAATTTAAAATCATAATATTTATTTCTAGACTATTAATTTATCACAATTTCCAAAATCATGCGAGAAAATTGAATTTATTAAATGCTGAAATTCAAAATGCATTTAAGATGTATAAGCTATAATTGAATGTTCAAACCCACTCAAAAGAAAAACATCTTCAAATTTATTTATTAATAATGATAATTTGAATTTTATTATGAATAAAAATATTGACATTTTCAAATCCTACTTACCAAAAAACATGAATTCAAAAATAGGTAAAATAATTAAATTCATAATCTACCCGACTAGGCAAATAAATAAATACATGCATCTACCCGATTAGGAAAATAAATGAATACGTACGACAAATTCAATATCGAAAAATATTGATAAACGAAATCGAACGGGAGTCGACAAACGTTAGATTCTCCGATGTCGATAACAGGAGAATTACAATCATAAGTAAACAAATTATATCATCTTATCTTGTATTCAAAACATAATCTAACCAAAGGTATCTCAAAAATCTTATCCCATTAACTTTATTTTTTTCGAAAATAAGGAAAAAGAATAAATCTATAAAAAAAAATATTTTACCTTTAAATTACACGTGTTTTTTGCCACATTTGCTTAAAAAGTCTTTTTCTTTTCAATTTATTGAAAAATATTTTATATATATATATATATATATATATGTATATATATATATATAAAATATTCCCTAATATATAATGTATCTCAGTTTCACCGTCACTCTGATTCCATTTACCACCTAAAAACAGTTCAATTTCTTAATTTTCTTCTTTATTTATATCAGATCTCTCTCCCTCCCTCTCTCTCCTCTCTCTCTCGAGCCGCCATTACTGTCTGTCAACAAAAACCGAGGTCTTTCCCCAGGTTCGTATCACGTTCTTAATTTTTCATGTTTTTCTGTGATTTTTCTTCATTTATGTTGTTAATAATTATAAATGCATGTTGATTCTATTTTTCAATTGTGTTTTTTTTGGTTGATTTTCAGTGGGTTTCAACCCTATCTCAAATTAGGTTTCTCAATTGGGGGAAAAACAATGTTTTGGTTCTAATTTCATGCTCGTTGCTAAATTTTGGGGGAATTTTTGACTTTCGGTAGAAAAAAACAATAGATTGTCTTTGACTTGTGTTTTTTTTTTTCTTTTCTGAAACAGCTCTGAAATTGATGATTGATTGATTTTTATGGGAAAATGGTGTGATCTGGATGGTACATTCTTGAAATGGAAACCAAGGCGACAAGCTCGGAAACCCTAGAAGAAAGGAACTCGGTTTTCTTGTGTAGTTTAAGTGAGAACTGCACATCTGATGTTTATGGTGGTCACTGTGAAATAAGCCATGTTGATTTATCGAGAAAATTAGGTCATATCAGCCTCGAAGAATCTGTGGTCTTCGATGGTGTTGCTGGTAATACTCAGATAAATAAAGGGGGATTGGGAAGTGAATCTGTGGTTTGTGATGATAGTATTGCAGGAAATCAAATAAATAATGATGTGCTCGTTTCGGAAGGGGAGTTGAAATGTAGTGGGAAAGTTGAGGAAAATGTTGAAAAAAGTGACGATTATGTGTTGCTTCCTCAAAAGCCTTGTTCACCGTCGAAGATAGAAATTTCTGGCGATGGTATTAATTTATCTGTGGATGATTTTGATCCGTTGGATGGAATACCCAACCAAGAAAGTTCACTTCAAGAAAATCGAACTATATCTCTTGGTGTAGAAAATGCAAGTGCCAAGAAAGAAGGGGAAGACGTTGTAGTGGAGCAAGAAGTCACATTTGATGTGGGTGATTTGGTATGGGTTAAAACTCGAAATCTGTTGTGGTGGCCAGGTATTATATCCGATCCAATCGAGTCAAATCATGCAGCAAAGTCCGAAAAAAGGGGTAGCTTCTTTGTCAAACTCTTTGGAAATATATATTCTGTTTGGTGCAACAGTTTGGATTTGAAGCCTTTTATGGAGCACTTTGAACAGATGTCGGTGCAAAACAAATCCAGAAACTTTTCCGGTTCGGTGGAGAGGGCACTATGCGAATTCGGTCAGCGCGTAAAGACGAAAATGACCTGCCTTTGCTTTTCAAAGGACGGTCAAAAGCTCGAGAAGTCAAGGTCAAATAGGGAAGAAAACTCATTGTCTCAGTTTGACCCTGCGACATTTTCTGCACGTATCAGAAATCTTGCGTGTTCTGTTAATGCACCTGGTACAGTTGAGTTAACTGTAATGAAAATCCGTCTGTCCTCGTTTTATTGTTCGGTTGGCCATTGTCAGTTGCCTCTGCATCTTCTCAGATCTGGTAGTGACACTGCACAGAATGTTACATCAGAAATCGTGGACGAGGGTCTTAATAATAATGCTTCTAGAAGCTTGCGGAACTCTCGACACGGAAAGGCCCGTGATGGTGATGTCACTGTTGGCCAAAGGCGGAAGAGGAATATTCACAGTGATGATAACAATGTAGCTACATCGGGTAAAGGCTCGGAATCACGAGAAAGGAAGAAGAGCAAGTATCTATCTTATCCTTATATAGATGTAAAAAATGTTGTATCAACTGCAGGCACAAAAACAGAGAATATCAAGAACTCGTCAAGCCCGCCTAAAAAGACCAATGATTTGGGTAGTTGCAGTGTCACGAAATCTCGGAAAAAGGGGTCAAAAAAATCTCAGAAAGGCAATCTTGTAATTAGCAAAGAAGACGACATTGATGCATGTTCGACCGAATTGCTAAACGAGCTCTGTTCTACTGCCCGTGATTGTTCTTACCTCGGTGGAAGCAAGTATTCTGATTCGCTGAAGAGATTTTACGGTAGTTTCAGAATGTATACGTTCCTCAATGCTGATATAAGTAAGGATGAAGTGGTAATGAAAACAGATAATTCGGAAGGAAAAGGAAAAGTCGTAAAAAAGAGGGCTAAGAAAAAGGAGAAATCGATATCAAAAGACCTTGCTCCAAATTCTGCTGAAGCTAATGAAGTGCAAATGAAAACAGATAATGCGGAAGCAAAAGAAAGTGTCGTAAAAAAGAAGGCCAAGAAAAAGAAGGAGAAATCGATATCAACAGGCCCTGTCCAAACTGAAGGTGATGAATTGCAAATAAAAACTGATAATTTGGAAGCAAAAGAAAGTGCCGTAAAAAAGAAGGCTAAGAAAAAGAAGGAAAAACCGATATCAAAAGTTCTCGAGTATACAAAAGATTCTTCCAATGTAGACAGAAACATCTGTATGATTAGCTTTCAGCAGACATCAAATACACCGCTACCTGATATCGACTCGATTTCTATATTACCAGATTTGAACAGAATCCAAACAGCCCCTTTGGTCGAAAATATTCCGGTTGGAGAAGCTTCTACAGACCAAGGTAAATCTGTACCAGATCAGAAAATTGAAGGATTAGCCCGTCCAAATACAACCGCGACCCTCGAAAAGATACCGCAGTCGAACGAGTGTTTGACGAATGGGATGAGCTCGTTTGCTAGTCAGCCAGTTCAGATGGAGATTTTGCCTTCCGTTGATAAACCCGAGCCTAAAAAAAGAAAAAGAAAAGAAAAAGTTGAATCTTTACAGGTTCCGGACTTGAACGGAAACGTGTTGGATTGCAGCTCGTCGGATAAAACTTTGCCCGATGAAAAAAATCAAGAAAAGGCAGAGAAGAAAAGGGTTGTGAACAAAGTTGAAGATCCAGGTGGCAGTCTTGTCCTAAACTTTGCTCAAGGAATCCCGTTGCCCTCTAAGGAAATGCTTGTGGCTACATTTTCGAGATTCGGGTTATTGAAGGAATCGGAAATCAAGGTGGCGGATGATAATTCTAACGTGGAGATTGTGTACGAGAGGAGCTCGGAGGCTAGATTTGCGTTTAGGAGTTTGGAGAAGAAGAGCAATGATGTGTTTGGAGAATCGCTCGTTGGTTTCAAACTCAATTGCGTGCCGGTAGTGCCGCCAGCTGGTCATTCGAGGACTAAAGAGAAGAGGAATAGACCGAAGGCGGTGAAAACCCCCCATGTGCCGATGAATGCATGCCAGATTAAGAATCTTCCGTTGCCAGATATGACGTTCATAGGGCAGAATGTAGAGAAGATGCATCCGTCATTCCAATCATAGACACTTAGGTAGAGAACATATTAAGGGCCAAGTTGGAAGACGAGATTAAAGTTTTTCTTGAAAAAATCGCCTCTGTTGGTGGTTCGTCTTCGTCTTAGCTTCAGATAATATAGTTGTATGAATAATCTTTGTTATGGGGGGTGGGGGGTTGGGGGTGGGGGGATGTTGGTGAGAGGGGAGGGGGGTAAAATGATTTTCTGCTACTGATATTTTTATTGAACTTTTATTTTACTGGTTTCTTATTCCCCTTTAGTCCTCACAGAACTGTAAGTTGTACTAGTTAAATTGCATTGAGATTGCAGCTATGACACATTCTTGGTTTTTATTTTATTTTAATTGTGTTTTTGCTTTTTTTGATTTTTTTTTTTTTTGGGGGATGACTTTAATTTTCAATACATGGTCTAAAGTTCAATTCTTTCAAATGACTTATTTGGTGGTTTGTTCATAGTATTGAAATAAATTATTGCACACCCCTAATAAAAAAATTATCTAAATTTACATTGTTTTTGTCAAGAAAAAGAAGTACTGCAATTTTTTTTTCAAAAATGAACTGATTTTAGGAAACCCTAGCTGGATTTTATTTCATTCTGACGCAGAAGGGAAGCACAATCGAAGAGAAAATCTCACCAAAGAACAAAAACTTCGGAATCCACAAGAAAATAGAACAAAACTATTTTGAAAATCAAGCGGAAATAAAGTCCAAAGAAAACTATTTATAGTAATAAAGCAAAAATCCTAATTAAACTAGAAAATTGTAACAATTACCAAAAATAGTAAGATAATCTAATCCTAATAGAATTCTTACTGCCGGAAACAATCCAATTTACGAGACTAAAACCCAAATTTGTTAGATCTAACTATTAATTTTCTTAAACTCTTCAAAAACGGCAAAAACGACATTTTGAGTGCCTAAACGACCCCGAAACGTACGTCGAAATCCATCGTTCATCGGTGATTTTGGGAATGATTAAGCTAGATTGGAGATTTTGAATAAGTTTGAACTATCACTAAGACAATTGAACATCTCTATCAAATTGTGGTTTATGTTTCAATTATTGGAATCTTCAAGAATTCATCACAAATTAAAGACCACAACTTTATTAGGGTTTATACTTTTTCCAGTTCCCTAAGCAGCACCCAAATTATATATATATATATATATATATATATATATATATATATATATATATATATATATATATATATATATATAAAAGATATAATATAATATAAACAAAGTACACTAGTATTCAAAGTACGCCAAAAACATTCTTTTACGTACATTAAAAAAATCTAATGAAAAAATAAATAAAAGTACAACCATATCTTCCTCGAACTGTCGGCAAATCCCATAATTTATCTTTTAATTTAAAAATTTAAAATCACAAAATTAAATGATATTAAACAACAGCAAAATAAAATAATCATACTTAGCTTCCACAATCCCCATTTCACACTCAGCCAAGTTAAACTTTAATTAAAACAAACAAACAAACAAACAAAAAAAAAAACATAATCCAAACATTAATTAAAAAGACCAAAAACCTGAGTTCGTAGCATTACTAATCTATCCTATTAAGTAAATAGCTAATTGATCATAATTAACTACTACATATAGTATTAATTAACCCTAATCAACAATCATTAAACTAACGGATTGGTTGCAGGATTAGACCCGTACCCGTTCATCAACCCGGTCCAAGATCCGAGCCCACCGAAATTATACCCGGTACTCTGCTGGTGATGATGATGATTATGATAATCATTCCATTCGAGTGACAGAATCTTCGAATTCGGCTTCACATCGATTACCTCGTGATTATTATTATGATTATGATTATGGTTATTATAATCATGATTATGATTTTGATTTTGATTTGGATTATCGTACGGAAGCATTAGCCTCTGGCAGCTCTCGAGAATGTTAATCGGAGCGGAGTTACTACTACCGTGGTGGTGGTCGAGAAATGACGAGGAAAGACCGAACGGAAAACCGTGAAAGTTAACGGCGTTATGATCGTCTGCATTATTATTACCGCCGCCGCCGCTTCCCGTTATCATCATCCCACCAAAATCGCCGTACTTGTTGTCCATGAAATCAATCGGAGTGTGGTGGTTGTTGATAATATTATTGTTGTTGTTGTTGTCGAGCACGAAATTATTATTACTGCCGGCGTTGTTGAAGAATCCAGATGCATGCAGCGACGAGAAATGGAGTTGGTCGGAGAATCCGAGGTGAACGTGGTTTTCGTCGTCGTCGGCGCTAGGGTTGTTGTTGTGGTTGTGGTTGTTACGGTTGAGTGGTACTAGAGCAGACGACGGCGGCGGCGGCGGGTGGTGGTCGGATTTCTTGTTGGCGGCGGAAGCGGAGGAGGAGGAGGAGACCTTCTTGTTTTTACGGCAGCCGCCGCCGACGGGGATGTTGCGGAGGGTGCCGCCTTTGGTCCAGTAGCGGCGGCAGGTTTTGCAGAAGTACCGTGGCTGAGAGAGGCTGTAGTTGTTGTAGTAGCAGAATTTGGTGTGCGTCGATTCGCACCGGGGGCATTTTGGGGATTGCTCGTGCTGCGGCCTCAGCCGGCTTCTCTCCGCCGCCATTAGCGTCGGCGATCTGCCGCCGCATGCCAGGATGCTGTTAATGTTGTTTTCTTCGTCGCCGCCGGATGGGGTTGAGATCGGCGAAGAATCCATTATCCCTCCTCCTATGTATTCCTCGGAAATTGTGCCCTATTTTTTTTATACAAGAACAAAACGCTCGCATCTCA